TTCAAACTTCATTCCATATTGGTCACAAGTGACCGATATGTTGACTGGTGTAGACTGGCTCTACTGATATCGATCAAACATGATCGATACTGATGACCGTAAATCTGTGTTTCGGTCTGTCATGACCGATACAAATGATCGATATCAGCCAGAATACACTTGGTCTTGAGTGTGGGAAGGAGTGTAGCTCTCTTCAAAGTAGTGCAGAGGTAAAGGCTCTTGGCAGAAGTTGCTGTAGGTAGTGTCTTCAAAGTACACCATCTTGATGTTTTGTTGCAACTCACATGAAATGAAAACACTTGAAAATAGAGTTAGTAACCAAAGAAAAGTAAGAGCTTGATCTAAAAGATTCTACAAACTCTAATGATTCAAACTTAGTTCCCACCTGGCAACGGCGTCAAATTGATACAAGATTTTGATGAGGTTCTTGTCTCAATCACCCTGTACTAGTCAGTTGTAGTATGGGTTTTAATCAATCCAATTGGGAACAGTTGAAAACAAAAGAGCTAAGAGTGAAATCTCTAAGTCAAGCAAGCAGAGAAAAGGTTTTGTTGCCTAAGCAACAGTTCTAGCAACCTAAGTGAAACAAGCAGCATAGGAAGTGAAAACAAAAGCAACTAAGCAGTTTTAAACAAGAAAAACAGAGCAAAACATAGTAAATCCGAGATTCAAATAAGAGAAAGGCAAGTACCTAGATGTGGTTATTGACTTTGGGGAATTTCAGACATTAACTAAGGCTGTTTCAAACTACATTGATCAAGCAAGTAAGCAAGCAATGGTGATTCCTAGACATAGAGTTCACAATTAAGCTAGTTAGATCTAATCTCTTGGTAAATAACCCTTTGCTAAACATTCTAACAAGAACTAACTCTCATTAATGCTAAAACATCAAGCAAGCAAGAATAAAAAACTCTATGAAAGTCAAAATGCTCCTCAAACAGTCAATCTCTTGAGCCAAGGCCAGCAAATCCTCTATTAAACATGATCAGCATTTCATCAAACACTTGGTGGGCATAAGAGAAAGCTAACAACTTAGACAAGTTTGATCAAGACTAATCTAGCATGAATAACAGATTAATAGAGAGGAACCCATAAACTGAAGCACTTAACAAGCCCTAATCAAGTCATAAATTCTCCTAATCTACCACATCTAGAAACTCTAAGATAACTACTCACTCATACTCATGTTTAACACCAAATCACAAAGGAAAAAGATGTTAATCATGATTAGAAGAGAGAATAAAGAAAGATTAAAGTAAATATTTGATTATATTAAACAAAGCAAAGAAATTGTCTTACAAACTTAAAGAAAATGCTTAAGAACAGTATTTTGACAAGACATGTCGAAAATCTGGAAAAGAGGCTATTTATAGCCTAGAGAAGAAAACCCTAGAGTAATGGCATAAGCGTAATTAAAAACAGGTTCGGGCTGGGTCAGTATCGGTCAGTTGTGTCGGTCTTCAATGACCGATACAGATCCCCATCGGTCTGGAGTGATCGACACATATGACCGAAATACATCCTTTGTGTTTGTGTCGGTCACTCCTGACCGATACTGGTGATTGATACTGATCCGTATCGGTCATCCTTGACCGATATTCATCGTGCTCTGACCAAAAACTTCTGCAGAGATCTTCTGCTTCGACCCTTCTTGCTCCCTTTTGCCCAGATAGCATCCTGTTTCATCCTCAAAGCTCCTCCAAGCTCCTTTTAGCTCCAAAAGCACCTAAAAACATCCAAAATGCAAGGAAAATGCAAATTATACTCTAAATGCAACCTATGTCTAATAGGAGAAGAAAATGGGATAAAAGCTAAGGGAAAACATGCAAAAGAGGACCAAAATATGTACTAAGCCCTAAATGGTGTAAATACAAGGGATATCAGTGACCTTGCATCGTCTGGTGGCCCTTATATCTCTGACCTAGAGGCTCTTCTACGTCCTACGAGGGAGGTAGGTTTGAGAACTTCTCATGGGAATACGTATTGGTCCAAGAGCAACGACCAATGCTGGGCTTCTAAATCCATATTTGGTGCTTTAGCGAAGATAATTTTGTGTGTGTCCTACCTGCGTGACTCTCTTGCCTGATTGTGGGAGAGGAAGAGTCGTGCTCTCGAGGATATTTTCCATTCCCATCCTCTTCTTAGACCTTTAGTCGATGTTTCGGTGGAGGAATCTCCTATTACTCCGAGCTGGACCACTGAATCTTGGTTACGTTCAGAGCTGTATTTCCTGGAGAGGCGGTAGAAGGCAGAGAAAAATTGGGCCAACTCCCTCACTTCTGTGTTCTGGGTGCTAGAGGGGTTGATCATGTCTCTCTCTTCTCTGGCAGCTAGGATCCTGGTGTCGGGTGACAAAGGTGTAGTTAGGGTAAGGACGTGGATCTCCTGGACAGTCTGAAGGAGAGCGCTTTGATGGGGGAGAGTCTTCTATGGGCGAATGCGAAGCTACGGGGATAATGATCTGAATGTCGGGTGCGAATCCAGAAGCTGGAACTTCAGCGGGATCCATAAGACTAAGTTTGGTCTCAAGGAAGAAGATGGGAAGGAACCGTCTTCCACGGGGCGGCTTGGCTTGGTCGATGTCATGGTGATTCCTTTGCCCATGCCTCTGTCTGGTTGTATAACACATGGGGATGAGCTTCCTATTCATTTATCTCTGTGTCTTCCTTAATCAGTCGTTTCCGCTTCCTTCGCTTATCTTCTCTTCTTTCCCACCATCTTTGCAGCGTGCCCTTACCTCGTCTTCGGGTGTTTGGTTAGATCTGTTTCACATATTCACCGCTTTAGGGATAAAGTTTTTTTAAAGTTTTGTATTAGGAATCTTTTTTAAATCTGTCTCCCTTCGGGGTCTTATTCATGAATGAATAAAGAGAACTTTTTCAATCTGTCGCTTATCTCTTTGTCTTGATTTTCAATTGCAAATTCTTCTCAAAACTCTAGCATTGGTGAATAACTTTATTTTGCAAATCATAATTTCTTTTTTTTTTTAACGGGTTGTGCCTCTTTCTTGGGTCTTGGTCGTTTGCTTAGACATCTGACAACCGAGGTTATTCACGGGGTTAAGCGGATTTCCCATGGTTTGGATGTGTATGTTGTTTTCACGGATGTCAATTTAGCCAGAAACTGATACAGATCTAGACGGACCATTCCCCAATCTGTGATGCGGGTCATGTCTCCTTTGGTCAAAAAGTTATTGGCACCATGTTCTCCTATGGTGTTGGTGTTCTCCATGTGTCGGGGCTGGCTTGGCTTGGTTAGGCAGGCTTTGATATATTTCTTGGCACCATCTTTTACTCTCATTCCAGTTGACGGACCTTCCTTCTTTTCGGATGGGGGAGGCTCAAGGAGCTTTCGGGAAATGGTTTCTGGACTGCTCTATGGGCTTAGGCTGTTTAGCACATTCGGCCAACATCCATCATGCACGGCATCGGTCTTTGCTCGGGATTTCTGGCCTGTTTTACGACTTGAGCTTACTGGTTCATTCGGTGCAACCTGAGTGGCCTTTCACCGAGCGGGGCGGTTAGGGGAAAAATCCTTTAGGCCCTAGCCTGGATAGTTCTATTGACTTAAATACCTGCCCTTGCGGCTTCTTACGGGGAACGTCGGAGGCCCTCGTCGTGAATTGATTTGGGCTTTGCGGTCACGCCACGGAAAACTTTATGGGTGGATGTTGCCGCCCTTAGTTTCCCTCAGTCTTCTATGGCTACTAGTTTTCACTACATCAAACGCTAGTTTTCCCTCCTCCCTCTAGCCCAGTTGTTTTGTAGCATTTTACATGATATTTATTGGGGATGTGTGCTCGTCGCCGCAAGTGGACTATATCTCACGTGTTTGTCCAATGGGGAAGAGTAGTGTAGCATCTGTAACAAAGAAATTTGAAATGACTGTGACCGGATAAGATATTAAACGAAGAAATGTGTGTTCGGTCAAGTGAAAATCCGAATGGTTGAGAGGATCCGACTATAGTAAAGTAAAGACTTGGAAAATAATCGAGGAATGACCGGGCTAGCTGAACAGGATGGGCCAGTATCCGAGAGAAAATGGGTTTAACTGAGTAAAAGTGAATTATGTCCGAAAAAAAGAAAAACAGACTGACTAAAAGGGGTAGGCCCGTGGGCTTTTCAGTTTGTTTAGAAGGGAAGCGAGTTTTGTCGTTAGGAAAAAGAAATTCTCGAATAGAGTTTCAACCTAGAGAAATTTGACTGTAACTGAGAGAAAAACAAACCGTGACCGAGAAAAGACGGTTTAGACCGGGCCACTTAGGGTGTTGAGTATAAAAAAGGTCTTTAATAGATTTTTTTTTTTTTTTGGAGAGCCGTATTATTTAGCAAAATCATCGTGAAAGAGAGAATTTACTCGAGAAAGTTCTGAGAGAATCTGAGTATTCCGAAAGATACCCGATAGAGTTGATTGTGTTTGAGAGATCGTCGATCATCATCGAGTACCGTCGATCAGCACTGCGAATCCGTCAAGTACCAGTAACGTGAGCATTCTGAAATAGAAGATTACTGAGAAGATAACCAATCACAACCAATGAATTCTGACATGATTGAGAGTTATCCGACGTGAAAGATTTTATCGAGTCGTAACTGAAGAAATCTTGACCATGACCTACTATATGTGTTCTGATCGAGTTTTCATCGAGTAACATCCGATCAAAACTGTTTTTCTAACTGTCTAAAATTAATGCGTAACAATGGTTTGTATTTAGAATTGTATAATTGCTAAAAACACATATCATATTCATAAAATATATCTGAATTGAAAGTATTAATTCATTTTATTATTTAATTAAATAAAAATTAAATATAGTTACCGTTTTTTGTATCATATAATTAAATAAAAAAATTTCTAATTTGGTTGCTTTCTAATTTGTTTATTTTTGAAGTTTGTTTCCTAATTTGGGGAGATGTCTTTTTTTAGCCGTCTAAAGGAAAAAGTAAAAAGAAGAGAAAAGGTCAAAGAGGATGTTAGACACAAATGGCTATCCACAATTCTCTCAAACATCGACGTCAATCAATCCACACCAAAAAAGGTTTCATTTACTCATCACACAAAATTCATTAAAAAAACCAAACAACAAAAAACTCTATAAATATAGTTTGTATCAAACCAATTCAATCAATCAAAGCACCAATTCAACCAATTCAATCAATAGAACCCTCTCATATACTTCAAACCCTCTTCATATCCTTTGCTTACTTGAATCACTAACTATGTCGCAACAATCATTCAACGCTGGCCAATCCAGGGGCCAAGCTCAGGTTCGTTCTCATTATAGTTATCAACTTTAAATGTCATGGAACATGTTAATTTTGCCAAATCTTAAATATGTTATATATGATATTGCAGGAGAAAGCTGAGCAGTGGACTGAGTCTGCCAAGCAGACCGCACAATCAGCACGTGATAAAACTGCAGATTTGGCACAGTCAGCACGTGACAAAGCTGTTGATGTGACACAATCAGCCCAAGACAAGTCTGCAAATAAATCACATTCCACCAAAGAATCCGCCCAACATGGTCAAGAACAAGCCGCTGGTTTTCTAGGCCAGGTATATTTACATATATTCATATAAATATTGAAAAAAAATATTTGGTAACAAAATTTGATATTGTGATGTATGTATTTGGAGAGCAGACCGGTGAATCGGTGAAGAACATGGCTCAAGGTGCTTTGGACGGTGTTAAAAACAGTCTTGGCATGAACGAGAAGAAATGAGGAAATGAATACTCACTCATACTTCTCAACTATTTATTTATATTTATGGATAATTTCTGATGTTTAGAAATTATTATTTTCTCCAAATTATGTTTGTAATAAGTATTTTTTTTAAAAAAAGATTTTGTGATCATAAGATCCAAGATCTGAGATGTGTAATAAGGTGGTGTAACATCACACCCTGCATTTTCTATTTTAAAGGATTGAACAAAATTAACAACACTCTTATGATCTTATCATATTAGAAATTATGATACTACTAGGTGTTGTCACGATGCATGAGTTTTTAATTTATCTAAAGGTCACATAAATCGGGATTTTTTTAGCGATAAATTGTAGTGGTACCGATTAAAATAATTAAAACCTATCAGAAAAATTATAAAAAGCAGCTGTGAAATGTTATTTATTTTATTACTTTACAGTATTTTTATAACTGATATAATATCTTTAAATATGTTCTAAATATGTCTAAACCTGTAATGATTCGAAAAAACTTTAAAAATATCAAAAACTCTATAAACAAAATATATATATCATGTCTACAAACAGAAAAAATCATAATTTATCAAAAATGCTAAAAATAAAAACCAATTGATGTATATAAAGATGATTTTCATCTATTCAAGTATCTGATAGCTTGCATATTTACATCCTTTAGACACATATAATTATATGTTTTTAAGTTTTTTCATGCATAAATAATGTTGAAGTTTTTTTAAGTTTTAACTCAATCCTCAAACACACATGTCATTGTAGTACTTGAGGTGTCAATCCAATCTATAGGCTAAAGAACAATCAAGATGCAGAAAACTTGCTAAGCTAGGTCTAATTAAGAGAAGGGAATGAAATCTAACAACCTAAGACAATAAATACAAACTAGAAAACAGAGACTCAAGACTAATGAATAACAAGGTGAATATAAATCAGGATCAAAGTGAAAGAAACAATCAATGCATTAATCTCTAGGAAAGGACTACTGATATAGACTAGCCCAATTCCTCAGCACTAATCCCTTATCTAATCACATATTCTAGATAAATTCCTTTACTCAAACACATGATCATCAAGCATAAATGTCAAAGTCCATAGAGCCAAAAATCATGCTAGACATCTAGTTTCATATGCTAGGTTTACTAATCTCTTATGCAATAGAACTAACATTAACTCACACTCCCAAGCATAATCAATGCCTAAAGGACAGTTTCCCACCAATGTGGTGTTAAGTACTTAAGTACAAGCTATGCAAGACATGACATCAACCATAACTTATTTCAATCATTTCAGCAAACACCCTAAATGCAATACTAGAAAGCCTAGAATATATTTATCCTATAAAGAGGTACTAAGGATGAAGAACAACCACACAAGAAGAGATAATCAAAGATCTAACATTCTAACACCTTAAACAATCATTAGAAACACTTTTGTTCTTCAAAAACCAAGAACCTCAAAAACTCAAAGAGACAAATTCGAAATTACTAAAGCAAATAAGAAAGCAAGACTAAAAGATTCAAGACTCAAGATTGAAAGAAGATAACATAAATAAATATATATACAAGTGATCCAATCTCATCCTACAAAAGATTTTTTCTTGTTCTTTGAAAAACCAAAGCAAAGCTTGGGAGAAGAGAAATGATAAGTGAGATTGGATCTAGGGTTAATTATTTATAGGGAACATCCCCAAAATAACCTTAGAAATCAAAAATAAAGGAGTCAAAGATGGTCAACTTTGGTTCTCGGGTTAATACATATCGAGCAGGAGGAAGGAGGTCTTGATCGATATACTGCTCGATACAGCATTCTGGTTGCGGGCAGTGAAGATGAAACCGTCGTATCGTTTGAACCACTGACCGGATTGACTTGATTTGACCTCCGTTGGAAAGCTTGTTGATATCTCTTGTATTTACATCATTTAGGACTGCATTTAGTACATATTTTGGTCCTCTTTTGCATGTTTTCCCTTAGCTTTTGTCCCATTTTCTTTTCCTTTTAGACATAGGTTGCATTTAGAGTATAGTTTGCATTTTCTTTGCAATTTGGATGTTTTTAGGTGCTTTTGGAGCCTAAAGGAGCTTGGAGGAGTTTTGGGGATGATTCATGATGCTAGCTGGGCAAAAGGGAGCAAGAAGGATCAAACCAAACAATCTCTGCAGAAGTTTTTGGTCAGAGCACAGTGAATATCGGTCAAGGATGACCGATACGGAGCAGTATCGATCACCAGTATCGGTCAAGGGTGACCGACATAAACCCAGCGGATGAATTTCGGTCACCAGCATCGATCAGAAGTGATCGACATAAACCCAGCGGATGAATTTCGGCCACCAGCATCGGTCAGGAGTGACCGACATGATTCATATCGGTCACCAGAATCTTTACTTGATTTTAATAAAAGTTTTCATTTCTCTTAATATTTTGTCTCTCTAATCATGATTAACTATCTTTTCTTCATAGATTTGATGGTTTTCACCATGTTTAGTGAGTAGTTTGCTTTAGGTTTGAGATTAGGGCAGATGGGGTGATTTTAGTGATTGTTTAGGTTGATTAGAGCTTAGATCTTCTCATTCCCTTTCTTATATGATTGTGCTTAATGCTTAGTACCTCTTTGTTGGAGAATTTGATTTTAGGTTTTCACATGCACACTAAGTGTTTGATGAAATTCCTGAATGAAATTCAATGCTTGAAAATGGTGTTTAGATAATCATGAGTCTTTGCATCTAACATTACATGCACTCTGTTTTTGCGCTGTTTCTCTTTGCCATTACTGCTCTTTAATTACTTTCTTTTGCTTTCTTTTACTTCTTTGCTTGATCATTTAGGTTGTTAGACTTCTAAAACTATTTATCTCTGCTTGAATTAAGATCTCTATTGCTTTCTTACTGTTTCATTCTCTCCTTTTGGATTGATAAAACCCTATTCTATACTACAACTGATTAGTACAAGCTTGGGTAATTGAATCAAGTCCCAAAAAGCCTTGTATCAATTTGGCGCCGTTGCCATTAGGGGAATACTTTGTTCAGTAGGATTTGTAGAGATCTTGTGATCAAGCTCTGTTATTTTCGTTTTTGGTTACTGATTTCTCTTTTGCTCTAGAATTTCTTTTGTAGGTACCACAACACTTGCTCTTAAGTGTCTACAACTACAACTGAGGTTAAAGGTCAAAGATTTTGGGTTTGCAGAATGATAATTCAGCTGTTGAAGCATGGAAGAACATCAGTATGCTGCTGGTTTTAGTTTGCAAGGTCCACAAGGTTCACAAGGTCCTCAAGGGAAGGAGCTTTGTTTCAAAAACCATTGATACCTATTGGTGCTGCTGATATACCTTCAAGTTATGCTTCAAGACAAGATATTCTTCCACCCATGGAGACTCATCACTATGAGATCAAGAGCAACATGATCACTATGGTTCAAGAGCAGAAGTTCTTTGGATTGCCCAACCAAGATCCTCTTGAACATTTGGATCACTTTGAGAGGATATGTGCTTTGATAAAGCTTAGTGGAGTTTCATATGATGGTTTGAAGCTCAGATTATTTCCATTCTCTCTTGGTGGTAGAGCTCAAATGTGGGAAAAGTCTTTAGCACAAGGCAGCATTAACACTTGGGAACAATGCAAATGTGCTTTCTTAACCAAATTCTTCTCTCCTTCAAGAACTGCAAAATTCAGGAATGAGATCAGAAACTTCAAACAGTGGTCTAATGAGAGCTTTGGAGACACTTGGGAAAGGTTTAGAGGCTTCACTCATCAATGCCCTCACCATGGCTTCACCAAACAAATGCTACTCTCCACACTAGACAGAGGTGTTCTCCTAACAATAAGAATCCTTCTAGATACTGCAAGCAATGGTTAATTTCTTGGTAAAGATGTTGATGAAGGATGGCTTCTAGTAGAGAACATGGCACTCAGTAGTTGGGATTATGTTGATGATAAAGAGCAACACTCAAAGGTAACTGAAGAGAAACTAGAGACAGCATTGTATGAGATGAAAGCCTTGCAAAAGAAAGTTGACTTGCTGATCAATGAGACCACTAAACCTCTTCCTAGTGTTGCTCCACAAAACCACTACAAAGAGCATCAAATCAAAGCTGTTCAACTACAAGAGGCGCCAATAATGAACCAAGACCATGATGTTTGTGTACATCAGTCCTATGGAGACACTCATACTAAACAACATCAAGGTTCTTCTTCTCATACAGTTGGCGCCAACACCTCCCAACCTTTACATGCATTGGACCTTAAGGAGATGTTCCTGCAACTCCAACAAATTCATAATGGAGGATTTCAGAAGATCATGGCTGCTGAAATTCAAAGAAGTATGGCTGAAATTCAGAGAAGCATGGCTGCTGAAATTCAAAGAAGTATGGCTGAAATTCAGAGAAGCATGACTGCTGAAATTCAAAGAAGTATTGCCTCCACAATCAACAACTTCCAATCCTAAAATGACTCCTTGACTATGCAGCTGAATAAACAAGAGAACAATGCTCAGCTAATCAACTTCATGAAGCCCTTACAGCATTGTTATGGTATCTCCTCCACTTCCCTAACTGATATTGCTGAGAAAGAAAACTCTATTGCTGAGATTACTCCAAATGTGACACCCTCTATCATCAATGTGGGCATTGAGTCTAAGTGTGGGGGAAGTGCTTTTCACTTGAGTTCAGCTAGTGATGCCAAGGCTGATGAAGAAGACAAAGCCATTGAAGCTGAGGTTGTTGAAGCTGACATGGAGGTCAAACAAGGAACTGCACCAGCACCACGCTCTCAAGGAACTCTTGCAGAAGAAGAACCCCTTGAAGAAGGGGAAAACTCAGAAGAAGAAGAGTGGTGGGCGCCACATGAACTTGTTGATGATACCAAGGAATACTTGACTGAAGTTCCTGATGTTCAAGAGAAGACTCAAGCTGCTCTCCTTCCTGTTTATCAACCCACTATCCCTTTTCCAGGAAGATTCAAAAAGCAGCTAGTACGGAATTATCAGACCCTCTATGCTGCTCAAATGGAAATGATAGGTCTGAATGGTCAAGAGGAGCTTGAGAAACTAAGGGTTAAAACTGGAGCATCTGAGGTTAAGGAGCAGAACATCAAGAAGCTTGGTAATCCAGGAAAGTTTCTAGTCTCTTGTGAGCTTGGTGAATTGGTTGTGGAAGAGGCTATGTGTGACACAGGTTCAAGTATCAATGTGATGTCACTTGACTTGGCAAAAGAACTAGGAGTCACCAAGCTGAAACCATATGATTCCACAATCACTTTTGTGGACTCTTCTTCAAGAACACCTGTTGGTCTCATTGAAGACTTTTCTGTGAGGATTGGAGCATGCAA